TAATAGTTTATGAAAGGTAAATAATGCAGTGCCTAACCAGTGTTTACATTTGGGTGTCTCCCTCTAAACTGGGATGAAGAAAGTAGGGGAATTTGGGTTGTCTCATGGCAGGCTGAACATCTTGAGTTGTCACAGAGCCAAGGTTTGAAGCAGGCATAGGATGTGAACATCTCAAAACTCCTACTTTTTGTGCTGACAATCTTCTGGAATCACAGAATTACTTAAGTTGGAAAAACTCCTTAAGACTGATCCCAACCATTCCTCCAGCACTGCCAAGGCCACCACTGCCACATGTCCCCAGATGCCACATGGCTTTTAAATCCCTCTGGGGGTGGTGACTCCACGTCTGTCCTGGGCAGCTGTGCCAGGGCTGGACAGCCCTTTCCATGAGGAATGGTTTGGGTTGGAAGGGACCTTTATGATCATCCAGTCCCATTCCCCTTGCTGTGGAAGATTTACATCAACCCAAGTAGCTGAACCTTGCCTGGATATCTGATGTTCCCTCAAGGATGGATCTTGCCTCCTGCAGAGGGAATTTCTCTCCACTAGAATTCTCCATGTCCCCCTGTTCTCTCCTGCCATGCCAGATACGATCAGGGGACTCCAACAAAAGCAGTGACACTGAGAATGGTCCAAAACCAGCCTAGCAAGAGGATCTCCAAAGTGTCACTCTCCCTGCTTGTACCTGAGGCTCTTGTGCCACCAGCTGGTGGGCTGCAGTCCTGGATCTCGTGTTCTCCATCATCTTTGGGATGGGGACAGGCTGATGACCCTGTCGTGGGTGCATTCTTCACCTCTAGGTCCTACATCCTCTTAGCAGTGGAAATCCTACTTCCAGCCTCAAAAGCCTCCTTGCCATGCCTTGTTCATTAAATAAATAGAGTCTCCTGGATTTTTGCTTCATCTGGGGGACAACTATATGGGAAGCTGTTGGAATGAGTTAATACTGGTTTTGAGAACTTTCTGACAGGTTTTTCAGTGCCCCCACATAACAAAGGATTTGTCTTCTTTCCTCTTTGGAGGCACATCTCTCTCACAAGGTTACCTAAACATCCAATTTAGACTTAAACCAATTAAATAATTGGTGTCCAGTGCTAAATTTTGGTGAGATCAATCACATGCTTGATTACCACCAGGCCCCCACTGCAAATGTGACCAGAAGATGCTTTGTATTTCCAAACCAGGTTGTGTCCAAGGTTCCCTGAAGCTCGCCAGTCTTTTAGGAACCTAAACATGTTAATGGTCCTTTGCAAAACAAATCACAGAATCATTTAAGTAGCAACCTGTGACCAATTCCTCACCTTTTCCAGCAGGCCAGGGCACTTACCAAGTGTTGTTCCTTGGACACCACCCAGGTGGGACTCTCCCACCTCCCTGGAAAATGGAACAGCTGAGATGAAAAGGGAAGCAATTTCTGTTATATAAAGAGTTAAAACTCAGTAATGAAAGAGGAGTCTGCTAGGATGGATGCTGAATAAATAAGATGATCCCTGTCACCCACACCTTGCTCAGGCACTGCCCTCTTCCCTTTTGGACACGGTCTGACTTTTTGCCTTCCGCTTTCCACCCAGGGAATCCAAACATTCCGAAACCTCGCCGGATCCTGCGGTCCTCCTGGGGCAGCAATCCCTACTTCCGTGGATCCTACTCCTACACCCAGGTTGGGTCTAGTGGGGCTGACGTGGAGAAACTGGCAAAACCACTGCCTTATGCTGAGAGCTCCAAAACTCCTGTGAGTATGGCCCAGATGGGGCCTGGGGCAGTAAAACTGACAGGACACTGGGCAGCAGGTTTTTGGGGAGGGAGGTTGAAAGAGAAAATCCCTGTTTTGGCCTTCAATAGTGTGTTTCCCCCTCGTTTTTTGTGTGTTTTTTTTTTTTGGTACAAGTGATGCCTCTATGTACAAATGATATGTGTAGGATTTTACCTCTTTAACGTTTGGAATGCCAACATCTCAGGGATTTCCTCATCTCTCCCTGAATTTATCAAGAGCTGCTCATGTGTGTGTGTTCATTTAATGACCATCGACTCTATTGTCCAGTTCAGAATCCCTCAGGAAAGCACGTGCTAATTTGTTTTAAATATTATTATTTTGTGACCCTGCTAATGTCTAGGTCTGAATGTGTCAGGGGTGCATATTAGGAAATCTTTCTGTGCTGGCAGTACAGGATGAGGGAGGCCCAGTCCTTGGCAGGGGACGATGAATTTTATCCCCAGGCACTGCCGTGGCTTTCTGAATTTAGCAAGGAGAGCTGGAGCACACATGGAGGTGGTTACAGAGCTCACATTAAGCCAAACTCACCCCATCACTCAGGGCTATGTGTCCATCCAAAGGCTGATGAAAATGCAGCCTTCAAGCAGCTGCCCAGTCCATTTCCTTCACCACAGCCTGGCCCTGAAATAATTCTCTTCAGCGCAGAAATCTGCTTAAGAAAACCTAGTAGGAGCTTTAGGAATCTCCCTGTATAGTTCCCAGGGAGATCCTCCCAGAAATTCCTGCCTCAAATCCGAGTTGCAGTTCTAGCAAGCACCTCACTATTGGTGTGAGAGATACAGTGCTGTGTCTCACCCTGTGGGTTTTGAGACATGGCTGTTACTCTTCTGAAAAGTTACTCTTCTGAAAAGTTACTCTTCTGAAAGGTTTGAGACATGGCTGTTACTCTTCTGAAAAGTTACTCTTCTGAAAGGTTTGAGACATGGCTGTTACTCTTCTGAAGTTGCTGTCCAGAAGTATTCCCTTAATACCTAAAAGGATGAAGTGTAATTTAGGGGAGCAAAGGGAGGAGATGCAGGTTTGTTCAGGTTTTTGGAACTGGTATTTTGTGGTGCATCTTGTGGTGCTTTTGAGAACCAGCACTCCAAAACAGATTAAAACCTCTGGTCCCTGGAAGTCAAGGTTGGAGAGGCTTGGAGCAAGCTGGGCTAGAGGAAATGTCCTTGCCCATGACAGGGGGTAGAACTGGATAATCTTTCAGGTCCTTTCCAACCCAAACCGTCCTGTGTGGGAGGGCACAGAAAGTTTGTCGTTTTAGCCTCCCAGCTGTAAGCTGTGCTGATCTGTGCCCCTTGTGCTGTGCCCTGCAGCCCATGCAGGTGATGTTTTCGGGGGAGGCCACTCACAGGAAGTATTACTCCACCACCCACGGTGCTGTGCTCTCGGGGCAGAGGGAGGCTGCTCGGCTCATCGAGATGTACCAGGACCTGCTGCAGTGCCCAGCCTGAGGGAGCCCTGCCTGGCCACCACCACCACCTCCCAAATCCTCCTGCAGGTGTGTGGAAGGGTTCTGTTTTATTTCATTTGCAGTAGAACAGCCTTTTATCTTTTCTATTAAAAAAAAAATAAAAAATAAAAAGCCCTAATTGTTAAAAATGTTAGTCATCAATAGCTTCATTTTCACGTGCTGTATTGTTAACAGGGAAGGGTGCTCCTTTTGGTCTGGTAAACTGTTTCTCTGTCATTTTAATTCTAATTTCACTTTTGGTGCCTATCATGTTGGTTTTATTTCTTTTTTCTTTCTGTATTGTAAGTGCCTTCTATACTAAAATAAATGTTGTAATAAAAAGACTGCGTGCTGTGGTACTTCCTGGACACTTCACTTGGTAACTTCCAACTCTTTTATTTAATAATACAAAAATAGGATTTTTTTCTCATCCTATAAAATTTAGAGTAGAAGGAAAACAGGTTGAAAATAGGTCAGAAACACATTACACAAATGGTGTTTGTGTGGAGATTTCCTCTGCCAGCAATACAATCCTGACCAAAAAGGGTCTGGTTAGGGCAGAGCTGACAGCACTGTGGTCAGTGTGGTCACTGCCCCAAGGCTGCCAGAGCTCATGGAGTGTTTGGACAACGCTCTCAGCACAGGGTGGGATTCTTGGGATGCCCTGTGCAGGATCAGGAGTGGGATTTGATGATTCTTGTGGGTCCCTCCCAGCTCAGGGTATTGTTTTGTTGCCTTATGGTTTGTTTGTGTGTCCTCCAGTGTAACAGGAGCACTCCCCCCATCCAATTTCTTCATGCAAATTTCTTCAGGCAGCCCCTGGACTGTGCAGATGTGTGTCACTAAGTCCAGATGTTAGTGACTCCCAAGAGTTTGTCTGCATCATCTGGAAATTGCCTTCAGGAATGAGAAAAAGCTTTTTTTTTTTTTTTTTTAACTTCCTCAGAGAGATAAATCATGCTCTTCTTTAAAGTCAAGTGAACACAATGTAGCCATCAGCATAGTTTAAAGATCTCTAAACAGTTTCCAAAAATAAAAGTTTTCAGGGTGAAGACCATGGGCGTTTAGCCACTGCTTTATCTCCTTGCATTCCATTTCTCCATCTGGCTGGCTGCTGGCCAGAGCTGCATGTGAGGAGTGAGGGATGTGTCTGCTCTGGCATCTGCTGCCCCATGTGAAGCCTCCCTTCCCTCTGTGTGTGTGTGGGGTGGGAGTTGTGTTGATAAATGAGTTACAGAGGGGAGGAAAAGGGACGGAGAGAGGGAAAAATCTCCCTCCAGAGGGTGAGTCAGTGCATCCCAAGATAAATGTCTGCAGAGGAGGCACCAGCTCTGTCTGCTTCTCTCCAAGCTCAGCTGAGCTGTGCTGCTGTGGTGTGGAGGTGGGATGCCTTCCTGGCTGGGAAGGATGGTGGTATGTTGAATTTATTGCTGTTTTTCTCCCATTTTATCTCTTTTCATGCTGTTACTGAGTTGGAGAAGGAGTCGGGCTGCGGGAGGAGAGTGTAGCACACTTGATTGAAGAGAAATAAAAACTCTGTAAAGCAGCTTCAGTCACTCAGAGCTCAGCCTCAAGGAGTCAGAGTGATTTCCCAGCAGCCAGATCTGTTGCAAAGTGGAACCTGTGGAGAAAACCAAATCCTTTGGGCATGTCAGGCTGTGACACAGATAAAAACAAGGAGTTGCTTTTTCTCTTCTGTGAAGAAATTTAGGAAGAAATCCTCAGTGAAAGGGTGGTCAGACACTGGAAGGGGCTGCCCAGGGAAGTGGTGGTGTCCCCATCCCTGGAGGTGTTCAAGGAACAATCAGTGCCCTGGTCTGGGTGACAAGGTGGGGATCAGTCAAAGGCTGGACATGATGATCTGGGATGTCTTTTCCAATCTAAATGAGTCTGTGATTCCTGTGGCTTCTTTAGCATGGGACATCCAAGGGAAGAAAGCTGCTGTGCTGGTGGTCAGAGTTTCAGAGCTCCTTTTTCTCTCTGTGCAGACAGAATGATGATGGTGTCTGGCCTTGCTGAGCAGGGCTCTGAGTCAGGCCAATCCCCCTCACTCCTCTGCTGCCATCACTCACCAGCAATCCAGCCTTTAAAGCGATGCTCATGTTCCAGAGACACTAAATTTAGCAGCTGTTTGCTAAGAGGTGTTTAAAATTAGCAGCAAAGGCCACCCTGAGCATGTGACAAGGAGAGGTGGTGTCACCACGGAGCTCTGTGATCCTCCACGCTGCTCTCCCTTCAAGACCTGTGGCATGTTTGTTCCAAGAGCTCAGTGATGAAGCTTGGTGGAAGGAAGATGAGGGTGCTGGGAAGGTAAGAGGCACCTAATTACTCTGAATTAATTAGGGATTGCTCCTCCTGGCTGGGAAGGACAGCAGGTGGGAAGAACAAGGTGCTGGCAGAGGTGGGGCTCCAAACTCCCCTGGGTGATGGTGCCATGGAGAAATGGGCATGGCTGTCCCCGGCTGTCCTTTTCCTGGGTGAGCCAGGAAAAATCAGCCACAAAATTTCATTAAGAAAATTATTAAGAAAAATTTCTTCATGCAAAGGGTTGTCCAGCCCTGGCACAGCTGCCCAGGGCAGTGGTGGTGTCCCTGTCCCTGGAGGGACTTCAAAGCCACGTGGATGTGGCACCTGGGGACGTGGTGCCACTTGTGGGAGGAATGGTTAACTCAATGTCTCAGAATCTCCCAACCTAAACGATTCTGTAGTTCTGCTGCTTGAACTCGTAGCAAAAAAAATGCTTTAAAAAAAATTTTTTTTTACAAAAGCTGAAGTGGATGCTCAGAGCCCCCATTGCACCAGGAGAGTGGTGGAATTACAGGGCAGGTCCTGGCTTCTGCCTTCACACCTCTCCTTGCCCAAATCCGCGGTGAGCAGAGACCCTCGTTAGTGTCACCGTGTGGCCAGTCCCAGAATCACGGAATTAAGGTTGGAAAAGAGCTCTAAATTCTCATCCAGCCTGGTTGTGGTTGTCCATGCACTGAGGGGACCATCCAAACTCTGCAGCAGCACATTTAAAGTCTCCAGCAGGATTTTCTGGCACAGGGCTGTGGATATTTGCAGAGTTCAGCCCTTTTCCCCTGACAGGATTGTCCCAGGATCCATACTGGGCTCTGAACTGTGAGAATGGGCACCAGCTAGGTTTTTCCAGGGGATTCTGATTATAAAATAGAATAAAGGATGGGGTTTAGTGCCCAGGGAACTCCCCTGTGCTGATTTATTTGCAAACACAGCCCCAGAAAAGGAGCAGAAAAGGAGACGGGGAGATTCTGAGACAAGCTCAGTGGAACAGCAGTGCTGGCAATGAGTGCAGGTGGGTAAAGGGATGGAAAAGCTGGGTTCTGGCTCTGCACTTGGAAGGGTTGGATACTTTCTCCTCCTGGAGTGGCCCCTGAGGTGAGACCACGGAGTTCTCGGTGGAACAGGGTCCGGAGCATCTTCTGCAAGCTGAGCACACCCCGGGAAAGGTGATTTTGTGCTGCCATCTCGTGGCACAATAGTCTCTAAAATTAGATATTCTCTAAAAGTAGAAAGAATCGGACACTTCCCAGGAAATACTTGTGAAGTGACACACGAGGATGTGAAGGAAGAGCAGTGGGAGCCCCGAGGGGTGAGCACAGATACCATCCTTTATCAGTGGGCTCTGTTTTTTATTATCCTTTATCAGTGGGCTCTCCAGAGTGCCTGAGAAATCCCTGGAGGGTTGGCAGGAGCTGTGGAAGGTGGATGGAAGAAGCTGGATGATTTCCCACCTCTCAGAGCCCATGTGTGTGAGGCTTTGGCCACCTTGCAGCCCTCCTGTGTCACCCAGGGCTTGGTGTGTTGGGAATGTTGCTGGCTCAGGAGCCTCCCATCCCCCAGGGAATTTGGGTGTCCCTTTGGAGAAATAACTGATAAATCAGGTCCTGTGTGAGGGTCCAGCTGTGATGTGGTGGATATGGAGGGTTTCTCTGAGTTTTAGGGGTGTAGAGTCATGGAATGTTTTGAGTTGGGAAGGACCTTAGGGCTCATCTTGTTCCTGCCATAGGCAGGGACATCTTCTGTTGGAACCCTGGTTATTGAGAATTTGAGATTTTCTGTGCTGACAGGCACTGACCCCCAGGTGAACACTGCATTGACCTGAGGCTGTGGAGAAGCTTCCAAAATGGAATGATAGAACTGGGACTGTTGGTGTGGAGTTTGGATAGAAGTGTGCAATATCACAGGGTGGAAAACTTAAAGTTCAAGGTTTTAGAATATAGTAATATATATCTAAAGCAAAATGGAGGTTTTAAGGCCTTCTTCTTCACCTTCTTCTCCATGGGTTTGGGTGGTTTTGTGTAATTGGATAAAAAAGTCCACATTGTGGGCACGGGTGGTTGGTTATTGGGTTAAAATAATTTAGGTGTCATTTCTTAATTTGACAGTTTATCCTTAAAAGGCCTTGTAGAGAAAGACATGGGGCTCCATTTTTAGTTTAGAGTGAAGGGCTGCAGAACTCAGTGTTTGTGAGACTGTAACAGAGATAAGAACTAATAAATATTTGAGTCCAAACAACAAATACCGTCTCGCACGTTTAGTCCCTACCCCAGCAAAAAGAAGTTGACTCAACAACCTTCCACTGGACAAACCACAGGGGGCAAGAAACTGGTGTGAAACTTCTCCAAACCAAGGATTCTGGCAGCAGCTACAACATGATCCAATGCAAAATCCCCTCCAAAATCCTTTTGTGAAGCACAGGGAGAGATTTCCCAACCCAGGTTATCCTGGTGGGTTCACAGCAGGTGGTTTGCTGTGAGTGCCTGGAAGATGAGTGACATGAGTGGGAGAAGAGCAAAAAAAAGGAAAAAAAAAAAAGAACAAAAAGGGGGAATTATGCTTGGAGAAGAAGGAACAGTGTCTCTTTTCTCATGGGCAGTGTGGCCCTGGCCAGGGTGGCTGCCTGAGGGTCATTTGTCAGGCATTTGGCAACTGAGCACTGCCAAGAGAAAAGAGAGCAGCAGAGGCAGGGGCTGGAAAAGTTGATTTATAAGGAGAGAAATTAAAAATATAAAAATAGTGGAGCTAAATATGTCATGTTTGGCTGGGCAGGGGGTGAGGGCTGAGCTGGTAGATGCCAGGAACTGGGAGGGGATTTGGGATACTCGGGGGAGGATTTTTTGGCTGTTGTGGGTGATGTGGATGGGTGCAGATGCTGGCTTAGCCAGGAGATGGGAACAGGGATATACAGCGGGGCTGTGCTCCGAGTCACCAGCTGAGGGCTGCAAATCTCCAGGAAACTCTGGCAGAGGAACAGCAAAGCAAATCTTCCCTTCCTTGCCCTGCCTCGCTTCATTTGCAGCCCTGAATGTCCCTGCTCGCAGGTAACTCGCTTCAAAGTCCCAATGGATGCTTTCTTCCTCCTTCAAAATCCAAATGGATGCTTCCTTCCTGCTTCAAAATCCAAATGGATGCTTCCTTCCTGACCTGGGGATGTTCAGAGCATCTTGGTGACACCTGGATGTGCTTGTGTTCATAAATACAAGTAGCAATCTTTGCTTGCTCCTGGTCCCACTCCTGTTCCCCGGGCCACTGGGTTGAATTTTTGTGATGACAACCATTGTGCTCCCGTGTGGTAGGAGCAAAAAATTCCTGCAAAAGGCAGGAATCATGGAATACCCTGAGCTGGGACACACAAGGATCATCCAGTCCAACTCCTGGCCCTGCACAGACACCCCAGCAATCCCACCCTGTCCCTGGGAGTGTTGTCCAAACTCTCCTGGAGCTCTGGCAGCCTCGGGGCTGTGCCCATTCCCTGGGCAGTACCCAGAACCCTCTGAGAGAAGAACCTTTTCCTAAAATCCAACCTAAACCTTTCCTGGGAGAGCTTCATGCCATTCCCTTGGGTTCTGTCACTGTCACTGTCACAGAGCAGAGATCAGAGCTGTCCCTGCACTGCCCCTCAGGAGTGGCTGCAGACCCCAGTGAGTGTCCCCTCAGTGTCCTCTTCTCCAGACTCCATCCAGTCCTTCCCTGTGGGAATCCAG